GGGTACCTGACGTAGTACGGAGTGGACTCCTCGAAACGGACGTCACGGGAGTCAAAGAACCGGTGAGAGGGAGGGTGGTAAAAGGTGAAGTCAGAGGAGTCCTCAGGGAAACCAAGGAAGACACAGGGGACGGCACGAGGCGAGAGCTTGTCCGCGGAGGTGTCGCGGACAAGAGCCAAGCACCCCCAGACACGAAACCGCGACGCAACACCAGGGAACCCTGTCCAAAGACTGGTCGGTGAAACCTCTGGTCGAGAGACACGTGGCCAGAGGTTCAGCTGGTGCGCGGCGTACCTGACCGCGTAGGGCCACAGAAAATGGGGGGCACAGGCGTGAGTCAGGGAGGTGCGGGCGATCTCCATGACCAGGCCTATGCGGCGCTCAGCAACCCCATTCTGCTGTGGGGACTCTGGAAGCGTCCAGGACTGACGAATGCCCTGCTCGCGACAGAATCCAGCGAGAATGCCGGAGCGAAACTCACCCCCACGGTCGGAGTGGAGACAGCTGACACGACGACCACGAGTGTCCTCGGTGGTGAGCAACCACCTGATCAGCGTAGAAGTCACCTCAGACTTCTTCGCCAGAGGGAACACTGTGGTGTAGCGGGAGAAGTCGTCAACGACCACCAGAAAGTAACGCTCACGCTCAGGGCCTAGACGAGGGGCTGGGCCCCAGACGTCCAAGTGAAGCGTCTCAAAAGGCTCGGTGGCCGGACGAAGGGAGGAGGAGTGAGGGGTGGCGCGCAGCCTACCCTCGACGCAGGGACGACACGGCGGCGCAGGCGAAGGCGGCAGCGACGGCAAGACACGTGGGAGGCCTAGGACAAGACGCTGACTAGACATAGCGCGCAGACGTGGAAGGGACGGGTGCCCCATCCGGTGGTGCCACAGAACGGTGGGGTGGGCAAGCGACCGGCAGGAGCACGACGCAGCGACTGGAACAGACGGAGGAACCTGACACGACACAGACACCTGGGGGGACGTAGCAACCTGGTGAGACGCGGGGACCCGAACGGGGGGGGGAACCGGGGGCAGTGGCAGTAGGGGGGGCTGCTGGTGCGGCCGCTGGTGCTGCTGCTGCTGCTGCTGCTGCGGCTGCGGCTGCTGCTGCTGCTGCGGCTGCTGCTGCGGCGCACGCGGGCCAGTGTGAAGAGTGTAGAGACCCGAGCCCGGCTCAGCAGTAAAGGTAGCAAGAGGCTGGTAAGAGTCTCCGTCAACACACACCGCAGTCTCTCCAGAAGGCTCAAACCACACACCCACGTGCTGGCTCACGAGGGGTCGCACGCCCACCAAGTTCCGGGAGAACGAGGGGACGTGAAACCCAGTGAGAGACCCGGAGGGAGCAGCAGGACACGGTAAAGTGGTAGTGTGACGTGCAGTGACTGGTCCCGTAGTGGGATCAGCCAACGCTACAGAAACAGGCGCAGGAAGTGGTGTAAGTGTCGTGCTGTCCCGAAAGAAGCAGTGGGAGGCTCCAGAGTCCAGTGTGAACGACAGCGAAGCGTCCTCTGAGGTAGTCGCTGGTCTAGAGTCTACACAAGTACCTACACTAGCAACAGGCAACTCAGCAAGACTAGCACCTAAGCTAACAACACCAGAGTAAACAGAGTCAGAAACACTAGAGTCAACAACAGCATACATAGCATGAGGAGCACTAATCAGATCAACTAACTGCTCAGCAGACATGCCCCACAGAGCGGAGCCGTAGCGCTGAACCAGAGGAAGCCAGTCAGGAGCAGGACCGCCAACCCCGTAGGTCAACCGGACCGTGTCAGTGAGCTGAGCAAAGCACTGACCAGGGGGGTGAAAGCGGCCACAAGGGTGGCCCCGACGAGGACCTGTCTGAACCTGGTAGGGGCAGGGAGGGTAAGCAGCACCGCGCTGGGGCTGACGCAGCCCCGACCCCGGAGCCAGCTGCTGACGCTGCTGCTGCTGAGGCTGCTGGGAGGAAAGGGGCTGCTGCTGCTGCTGAAGGTGCTGCTGACGCTGAGCCTGGTACCACGCCGCTGCTCCACCTAGCGGGGCCGACAGTACAGGAGGCGACTGACGAGCTCGAGGGTCGCTGCCACCAGCAGGTGCAGTGGAGTCACCGGCCGCTGCACGAGGGGTCTCTCCAGACGCTGCACTCCCACCACCGCCAGTCGCAACAGCACCCCCACTACCTCCGCTACCTCCGCCTCCACCTCCACCGGAACCACCTTTCTTGCCCCCCCTGCCGCGGGACCGCGACGCAGTCGTAACAGCAGCCGCAGTCGCGTCAGTAGCGGCAGTGGCAAGAGAGGCAGTGAAGGTGGGTAACTGCGGGACTGTGCACCCGTGGAAGAGTGGGGGGGATACAGTACCAGAGGCGGCAGCTACCGAACGAAGGTTGCTCTCGACATCCTTGAGTGCAGACTCAAGGACCTCGATAGTCAGCTCACTAGGGTGCTTCAGCAGAAGCGCGTCACGAACGGAGGCAAGGCGGTCAGGGAGGCTAGTGGCGATGAAATAGACAGTAATCGCCATGGGGGGAGGAAGCAGTGCAAGCTGTGCCTCAGTGCAAGCAGCGCGGTAACTAGCGTCAAGCGAGCGGAGGTGAGCGATCAAGTCAGCAGAGCGCTCAAACGAGGCAAGATCAGGAAACAGGAACGGGAGGAAAAGACGGCCGAGAGAGACAGTAGCGGGAGTAGAGTAGCGGGCCTTAATCGCAGTGAGGTACGCAGCAGCGGTGCGAACCTGAGTAAAGTGGACCTCCTCGGACTCAGGGAGGAGGCTGCTGAGTGCGATGCAGGCCGCAGCGTCACGCGACGTCCAAGCCGTCCGGTCAGCGCGCTGACGGGCAAAGCGAGCCGTAGCAGCATCGTCAGGAGCAGGGCCTAAAGCTGTAGGCTCGGGGGGCTCGGGGAGGTCACCAGTAGCGTGTGACCAGAGGGTCTCGCCCCCCTGGACCTGACTCTCTAACAGACGACGAGCGCGAAGAAGCCAGACGGAAAAGTCAAGGGGTCTACCGTCGGCGTCGAAACGAAGAACTCGCGGAGTCGCCATAGTGAGAACGAACAGGCGAGTAACAACCGGGGGGGGAAGAGGACTCAGTCGCAGCGGAAGAGTGGGCTAGGACGACGGGCCAAGACGTAGGGTAGGGCAACGGGCCAGGGCCTAGGGTAGGGCGACGGGCCAGGGCCTAGGAAGGGCGACAGGCCAGGGCCTAGGGAGGGCGACGCGACGGGGGAAAGGTCAGGGCGACGCGACGGGGCAGGGCGACGCGACGGGACAGGGCGACGCGATGGGGCAGGGCGGCGCGACGGAGCAGGGCGACGGGACAGGGCAGGGCGACGCGACGGGGTAGGGCGACGCGACGGGACAGGGCGACGGGACAGGGCAGGGCGACGCGACGGGACAGGGCAGGGCGACGCGACGGGACAGGGCGACGCGACGGGACAGGGCGACGGGACAGGGCGACGGGACAGGGCGACGGGACAGGGCGATGTGACGGGACAGGGCGACGGGACAGGGCGACGGGACAGGGCGACGTGACGGGACAGGGCGACGGGACGGGGGGGGGGTAACAGGCAGGCGCGACGCGACGGGGGGAACGGGCGCGACGCGACGGGGGGGAACGGGCGCGACGCGACAGGGGGAACGGGCGTGACGCGACGGGGGGGGAACAGGCGTGACGCGACGGGGGAGATGACGCTAGGCTCGGTACTAGGCGCGGTAACTACGAAACTGGTACGAACGAGAGGTAGGATCAGGCTCGGGAGGTACGAACGGAGAACGGAGGAACGGGATCCCACAGGATCCTAACCTAGCTGATACCATGTCAGAATGAGGAATGAGTGTTGCATTGATGTTGGTTGGGGTACATATGACAAACCCTAACTTCTGTACCCCCTAAGACAAACCTCACTACAGGCTACAACATTTGACAGAAACTATACAGGGTTCGATTGAGAATCTCGCATGCAAGCTGGCAGGGATTGATTCCCTGCCAACACACAGTCAGAATGTGAAACTATACTGTACAAGGCTGTGATTGAGAATCTCGCGTGCAAGCTGGCAAGGATTGACTCCCTCTGCCAACACACACAGTCAGAATGAGTCAACGTGCGCCCTTGACAGCTCATTCTGACTGGACGCGTTTCCAGTGAGCTGGGCGAGGGTGAGGGGGCATCGAAATTCAAAATGTGGGAATGAAAATGTTGAGTTTCGTTACAACGATTTCAGTAAAATTATAATAAAAGAGAAGAGGGTGGCGCTTATAATCCGTAAGCCTTCAGGGGTGTGCTTATAATCGAGGACCGGATACAAGCGCCCTCATCCTTTTATAAGCGCCGGCGCTTATCCAAGGCCTGCGCTTCGATCCGGGGGCTTACGGTAGTGTATTCTGGTGCCCCTACTCGAGCAGTTTCATCCGGAGGAAAAGAAGTTTCGAGGGAGTTTCGTTCCGATAACCTTTCATTCAGGCTGGCAGAAACCCCTGTATAACTGGTTTCAGAGTGGATCCCCGATACAAGTCTGAGGCTCAGCATGCACTACTACGACTATTCTGAAATTTCAGACTAGTCAGTCAAAAAAACTCGGAAAAATCAGACAGGGTGCATAAAAAAAATCTTTGAGTTCAGACTAGGTAAAAAAAAAAGTCTGAACGGACTCTGAATCAGATTCCAAAGTCTGATATCTAGGGCCCTGATGCACAGCATCCTGTTAAATGTACCTCAAGTCCGATCCAGTCACCAGGGATGATTTCTACTACACAACAGACAAATGAATGGATGCCATGCCGCAATCACTAACCGCAATCAGGTCCAGCCTCCAGGCCCTTGGCATGCTCAGGCACATCCAGTCCAGTCCACCCACATGCAGTACTGCGTATACCGTACACCACACAGGAGCATGCCCCGCGTGCGAAACATGCACACTGCACAGCACCCTCTGTGAGTCCGACTGGTAATACCGGTAACAAATCATGGGTAGGACAGTATGGTATGGTACAGTGCGGTACTGCAGGTGCGAGCTTTCAAGTCAGTGGGGGACAGCGATCTGGTCGAGGTCCTTGACATACTCTGGTATGTCCACATGCTGTATGTGCACCGCGTCCTCTGCCAGTGCCGGCGGCACCGGTAGCCCATCTGCCAACAGGGGATGGGAGCAGATGCGAGCGATGGGATGGGATGGGATGGGATGGGATAAGCGCGCGTTCAAGAAGAATCGGCAAGCGGAAAAGAGAAGAACACTGTACATGAATTACTGTATACAGAGTAGTGGTGAGTTCTTTTGGGGAAAATAGGCAAGACGAAGGAGAGAAGGGCGTGCAATGAGAGATAGGAAGGAGGTGGGGGAGGGGGGAAGAGAGGAAGGGACGCGAAAAGAGTAGAAGGGAGGGGGAAAGAGTGAAAAGGGTGAATGGCGGGTCTGATTGAAATGAGCTAAGGACACACATTTCTTTGCAAGAGGGAAGTTTTGGTGCAGAAAGCGCAGAGCAGCGCCGCTGTTGATGCGGTGGAAGATGGGCGGTGGGATGGCCCCCGCCATCCTGCCATGCCGCAGGGCGATGGGCGCAACAGAGGGCGGACACACAGATGGGGACACATGGGGAGACGCATGGGGAGACACATGGCGGGGGGGGAGGGAGGGGGGGGGGAGAAGATGCGGAATGGGGGGTGATGAGGCACCTGAAGAGGTAAAAATCAAGCCCTGCCATGGCGACACGCAGCGAGGACTTCTTTCAAGAATTCATGGGGCAGATGTGCAGTGGTAGGTATGTAGGAATGCCCTGCGGTGGTTGCATGGATGCGAGGACGGTGGGGTGGGTGGATTGGAAGCATGAACGCGTGAACGAGTTGAAGAGTACACAACATGGAACGAGTGGAAGCAGGAGATGGAAGCATGGACGGGTTGAAATGGAGATGAGCGAGCGAGCACGAGTGGAGGGAATGCAGGGAGGAGCGGAGGCAGGGAGGATGGGAGGCAAGGACGAGTGGGGCATGGAGTTTGGAGGGAAGACACAGGGAGCAGGAAGGCAGGGAGTTTGGGGGGACTCACTTGGCGCTCTTCATGATGGCAGGTGCCACCAGAGCAAGGTCGGAGGGGTCCTGGTGGGCTGACCCCTGTGGTATGCGGTGAATGGGTGGGAAAGAGGGGGGACGGGAGGAATGGCGTTCAGCGTCATACAGGGACGGGACGAGAGGGAGGGAGGGGAGGGATAGCGGGGAAAGGAATTGAGAAAAGTAGGGAGGGAGGGACGGAGGGAGGGAAAGAGGGGAGAGTGGGAGTGATTGAGGGAGGGAGGGACGGCAGGAGGGAAAGAGGGGAGAGTGGGAGGGATTGAGGGAGGGAGGGAGGGAGGGAAAGAGGGAGGGGCGAAGGGCAAAGATAGAGTACGAGAGTGAGAAAGGAGATCGGTTTGGAGGCTCTCAAAAACATAAAACGCAGCCCATTTCACACCATCTTCCCCCTTCACACACACAAACACGAGTTCTCCCCCCCACTCACCACAAGCACAATCAATTCAGTCACACTCTCCGTCTCCCCGTCCATCCTTCCACTCCCCTTCCTCGCCTCCTCTCCCTCCGTCCCCACCCCCTTCCCCCCCACACCCTTCTCCTCCGCCTCTCCATCCTGCTTAGCCTGCTCTTTCACGATCTGCAGCCACCGGTCGCGCCAGGACAGCAGGCGCCCTTGGAGGAACCGCTTCCGCGCCACCACGTTGCGAGCCGCGTTCAGCCCTTCTGTGTCGATGCACAGCAGTGCTGCCTTGCCCCCTGCCAGCGCAATGGCCTCCTGCAGAACCGAGTGTGGAGAGCGGTGCAGTGCGGTGCAAGGAGTTGAGAACAGTGGAAGGATGGGTGGGGGTGGAGGACGAGAAGCGGCGCCATGATTGCGTTCAGCCCCTCTGTGTCTATGCACAGCAGCACTAGGAAGGGTCATGATATGCGAATGGATGCTGAGAAGCAAGGCAGATGAAGCAGCTGGAGGTAGAGTTTGTAAAAGGCAGAAGGTTGGGGCGGGCAGGTGGTCAAGGAAGGTGGGAGGCTGTGCAGTGGCAGTGAAGCAGGAAGAGCACAGAACGACAGTATAGAAAAACTCGTGCCAACACAAACATAAACCCGATCCCAGGCGAAACTTATTCATATTATGCTAACACAGGCGGGTTGTCAGCAACAAAACTGCAGATCTTCTTACATCAGGCAACGGGCGCCACCACGTGTCAAGCACCACCACAGATGACACCCGTGACACCAAGGGGCCCTTTTTCTCGTTCCCATCCATGTCCCCATCCCCATCGCTTCTTCCACCATGCACAGCTGGCGACAGCGACAGGTGGAAGCCGTTGATTGGCTGCTCGGCCACCCCAGCAAGAAACGCCGCGGTGGCGCCCCCAAAGGAGTGGCCTGCGAGGGCAATGTGGGAGAGGTCGAGACGACCCGCGAGCGACGAGGGGAGCAGGCGAGCAGCGCTGGTGATGGCGTTGCGGGAGTCTGATACGTGCCCTTTGTTGAACTGGTGGAGGAGCGCTAGGATGGAGCGCAGGGCTGCCATGCGCTGCAGGGAAGAGACACATAAAGGGAGGGAGGGGGGGTGTGGGGGGAAGCCGAAGGGGGATATGTGGTGAGCTGCGTTGATGGATATCTGCTTGCTGTAGATCCGGTGGAGGAGTGCTAGAATGGAGCGCAGGGATGTGATGCGCTGGAAGGGAGGAGGAGGTGGGGGAGGGGAGAGTGAAGAGAGGACGGGGAGAAGGGTGACAAACAGAGTCAGTTTGGGAAGTGAGAGAGGGTGAGTAATAAGGACCTGAGTCTTCAGCGAGCGTTCTGTGTGCCTGTTCAAGTGATACATCTCCTAAGAACAAAGGCTTATTTACACTGCGTCTTCCCTCAGTCATCTGCTGCAGCTGCCTGTGCCACACGTCCATGCGCTCGTGGAAATTCATAAGTCAGAGAAAGGGTGTGAGGGGGAAGCAAAGCTTGAACAATAAATTTTCTTCCCATACGTGGTGGCTTAATGGTGAAGAGCACGGGTGAACCACCTACCTACCCACCTCGATACTCAACCACCTAACCACCTACCTACCCTACCTAACCTGCCTGTCTCACCACCTCCTAGACTGGTCCTTCATTGAGTAAACAAGCGAGGTGTCAAAGCACTCCAAGGGGTCACAGTATAGGCACGGCATGCTAGACCTAAGCTACCTCTGCCAGGACCTCTCGGGTGTAAAACATGTCCCCTATGCCAAACGGCTCAGGGAACCCGTCCATCGCCCCTGGGGTCGCCGTGAAGGCGGCGTGGGATCTCGCTTACCTGCTGCAGCTGCATGTGTCGCACGTCCACGGGAGCTTCAAAGAAATCCACGTCCATGCGCTCATGGAGGATTCACGAGAGAGAGAGGCGGAGCGGAGCGTGGGGCACCTCCCTACCGAGACACTCAACGACCTGACAGCCTCACTCTTTGTGTCCTCTCCCATACCTGCTGCAGCTGCCGGTGCCGCACTTCCATGGGCACTTCAAAGAAGTCCACGTCCATGCGCTCATGGGGAATCCACTTCACCCTCCCTCCCTTTCCTCCTCCCCACCCCCCCTCCTCCTCCTCTTCCCCGTCTGTCTCTGCCGCCATGCATGCTGAGCCGTCCGTGTATTCTGGCGCCACCACCACTGTGCGTTTGGGTGAAGGGGAGGGAGAGGTTGTACAGAGGGAGACAAGGAAAGGTGAGTCGAGGAGAATTGTGCCGCCATTCATGCTGTGCCGTCCGTGCACTCTGGCGCCACCACCACTGGAAGGGGGAGCGGGAGAGGGAGTGGGATGATGAGGAGGGGTTGGGGTGGGGGTTGGTCAGAGGGGAGGGGGATGCGGGTAGGGATGGGGAGTGGAAAGGTGGGGGGATGAGGGAAGGCGGGAAGAAACTGTGTTGTTTTGAGAGCACAGCTGCGATGCATGTCACCAAATAGGAGGGCGAGGAAGAAATGGAGTGACAAGCTCCACATACCCATGCAAGTAAGGCGTGAGCAAGCACACAGGCGGACGGACTCACCATTGCCATGCGGGGCAAGGTTGAAGTAGAACTGCGTGTCCGTGGAGTGCATGGACCACAGCCTGTGACTGAACAGCCAGAGAGAGAGACAGACTCGCCACAACCATGCTAGGCAGACTCCTTTGGAGACGGCTCAAATGCCAGGCTGGAGCACAGAAACAAACAACACACACACAGACGCACAGCGGGATGGACGGACGGGCTCACTCACCATAGCCATGGGAGGCGAGGTCGAAGCAGAACTGCGTGTACGTGGAGCGCATGGACCACAGCCCGTGGCTGAACAGCACCACCGGCAGCCGACCCTCGGGGTTCTCCCCCCCACTGGTGGTGGGGTCGGCGTGGGGGTGGTTGAGGTGGCGCAGCAGGGAGGCGCGGGAGATGAAAGGGCGCGCGGGGAGACAGCGGATGGCGGCGTATGGCTTGATTAGTAGGTACGTGATGCCTGGTGGTGGGGGGTGGTGGGTGGTGGGGAGAATGGGCGGGGATTGGAAGCTGTAAGTCGGCTCAAAGCGGGCGGTCTGAGAGAGAGAGAGAGAGTTCAACTCAACATCAGTGGGAAGAAACGTGTGGAGAGAAACTGTGCTTGAGAGAAGGAAACGGAAGAAAAAGGTGGACTTTGAGTAAAGGCAAAGAAATCGTTTTGATGAATGACTCTGAAAGGAGGAAGGGCCGAAGATAAGAAGGGAAGATTGGAAGCATGGAAGGAGGGAGAGTGGAAAGAATGGAAGCATGGAAGGAGGGAGAGTGGAAAGAATGGAAGCAGGGGAGAAGGGACGAAGGGAAGACGGGACGGGAGAGCAGAAGGCATGGCGGCGAGAGTAAGAAGAGGTGGAGGGGCTCACGGGAGAGCAGCCAGGTGAGGATGGAGGCGAAGAAGGAGAAGGGCGGGATCATGGCGCAGATGTAGCCGTACAGGTACGCCACGTGCGGCAGCCATGCACTGCGCTCCACCTCTCGCCTGCCATCGGATGCATTCGCACATACGCAGCACAGAAAGTCGCACACGCACGCAGCACGGCTCTTGTTATCAGTGGTATACTCAATTAACGCCTCTTGAATTCGCATGTGAAAGCACAGACACAGATGGTCTGACTGTCGTCCATCCACCCATCCATCCCAGGCTGCATGAAATAAGCAGGACCACGCACTATCTGGCTATGACCCGTCAACCCAACGACGTGTCACAATTCCGCTCTGCCACAGGCGGTGAGTGTAACATGGCGAATTGCGCTATAATACAGTGAGATAGTACGAACGATTGTCGGATGCCAGTCCAGCGCAATCCAATCCAATTCCTTCTAACAGTTACGGCAATCCCCGCCTACCTCTCTTCAGCGTTGCCATCAGTAGGGTAGTACACGCGGAACAGCGGCGGGTGCACGTGATGCCCGTGATCGCCATTCCCTGCGCTCGGCTCGGCGGGCGCTTTGCTTCGGCGCAACTCGAAGTCCCCGTACGACACGTGGAACGGGCCTAGAGGCTCGGGGAGAACCATGGGGAGAAACGGCGGAGGGTCTTCACTGGAAGAACCCGACGATTGGGCGAACGGGGATCTGGATCGGATCTGATTGGTCGTTGGGTTTCCCTGCGCTCGGCTCGGTGGGCGTCGAAATGGGAGACTTATATGGCGGTGAAGGGACGCGGCGCGTCGGGGTAAGTCAGAAGAGAGGAGACGAGAAGAGCGAGTTAAGCCACCGGGGGTCGCAAGGCGGCAGAATGCAGCGCCAACGCTCATCTGAACAAAGGCGTAACTCGCAACAGAATTCGCGACTCTAGCAAACTGAGAGCAGAAGTTGGGTCGGCGCAGCACTCATTTTCCTTCTGGCACGAGCAATATCAAGCTTTGTATTCAGGCACTGGGTGAGCGGTGGTGCTGCTCTTGGTGCCTGCACTGTTCTCGATTGTTCTGCTGCACTTGTGCTACGTGTAACGTGATGCTGACGAAACCTACTGATTCCTCGTCACTCGTCGTCACTCATCGCCGGTCCTCAATTCTCCTTATTGGTGACATTATATTTTCGTGAGTTCGTTATTCGTGTATCCCTTGAACCTCTCTTGGTTGTGTGTGAGACTGCCACGTAACGGGTATACAAACAGTCTGTGTCGAAGCTCCCAAGGAGCTTAGAGAAGGGTTATAATGGTGTGTTGCAATTTGCGATGCACTGCATCGGCTCGGGACGTTTGGAGCGCTCCAGGCAGGCGGGAGGCCAAAAACGGGCACTGATTCGGGAAAGAAAATTTTCAAGATAGTGATTCAACAAGTTATTTACCAAGGTCATACCGGTACTAGGTAAAGGTAAAGGTTATGGGGAAACCCCCTTGGTATTACCCCGGCTGTCGGTCGTAACCCGCCTACCCATTTGTTTACACGCCTCGCTAGGTAACGAGGTTGTTGTATCCACTCCCAGATGAGCACCTGTGTAACCCCCTTCTGGGGGGCTGGCAGAACACGCCGCAAGGGGGATTTGATCCGGGACCTTATCCTTAGAAAGTGAACCAGTTAACTGTCAAACATTATACATGTTGTGCTTGTTTAGGCTACAGTGGGTTAGCCTATAAGGGGTACACAATTCTAGGGTTAGGTACTTGTACTGATTTCACTGTTAGTTCAACCATTCCTGTTTGTTCATTTCAACATAGTATAGAGCAGGTCCTTCGCTAGGACCGTTTTTTTTTAGGGCCCACCACTACCTACCTACCTACCTACCTACCTACCTACCTACCTACGCCCTAGGGCGCCTCGTTCTTCACGGCCCACTAAGGCCCCGCGACCCGCCCCTTAGCGACCTGTGCGTCGCCCCTTAAGGCCCCGTCGGCCCACGCGCTCGCCCCTTACGGCCCCGCGCTCGCCCCTTAGAGACCCCGTCGGCCCCGCGATCGCCCCTAACGGCCCCGTCGGCCCCGCGCTCACCTCCCTAGAGGCCCCCGTCGGCCCCGCGCTCGCCCTTAGCGGCCCCTTACGGCCCCGCGCTCGCCCCTACAGGCCCCGAACGGCCCCGCGCTCGCCTTTAGCGGCCCCCTACGGCCCCGCGCTCGCCCCTAGAGGCCTCGAACGGCCCGCGCTCGCCCCTAGAGGCCCCGAACGGCCCCGCCAGAACGAGCCGCCCGAACCGAGCAGCCCGAACCGGGCCACCCAGCCCGAACCGAGCCGCCCAGCCCAAACCGAGCCGCGCCGCCCGAACCTAGCCGCGCCGCCCTTCCCGAGCCGCGCCGCCCTACCTGAACCGAGCCGCGCCGCCCGTACTGGACCGAGCCGCCCTACCTAAGTCGCACTGCCTACTGTTTTTGGGGTGCACCTACTGCTATTACTGCTACTCTACTGCTACTCCTACGACTGCTATGGCTAGCCCTCCTGTGCTAGCTTTCGATGCTGAGGGCCGCCCAGTGAAGTTCGAAACCTGGCTAGATGACCTACACCTCTTCCTACAACTCACTGCCAAGGAGGACATCTCACTGTACGATCACGCCCTAGGCCATGCTATTGCTCCTGCTACTACTGCTGACAGCACTACCCGCTCACAGTGGCAGACTCGTGACGCCCACACTCGCTTCGCTATTCGCAACTCCCTGCCGATAGATGAGCGCGAGCACTTTGGGCAGCACAAGACTGCACAGGCACTGTACACTGCTGTCGTTGCCCGCTACTCCTCACCGGCCTCTGCCGCACTAGGCCGTCTCTCTCTTCCCTACCTGTTCCCCGACTTAGCCTCTTTCCACACAGTCGCTGACCTCATTACGCACCTCCGCACTAGTGAGGCTCACTTCCGCGCCGCCATGCCTGATGAGTTCCTTGTCAAGAACCCACCCCCGCTCTGGCTCACTCTCTACCACCTAGTCACCCGCCCCCCTGACACTCTGCGCTCAGTCAGGGACCACTTCCTAGCTCGCTGCCCCACTGAGCTCACCATTGCCCTCCTCGAGAAGGAACTCCTTGCAACTGAGGCTAGTATAGTCGCTGTAGGTGCCTCTCGTGGCGACCCCCGTACCCCGTTCTTTGAGGGGTGTTCTCCTTCCCCCCTTCTTCCCTCTTTCGCCTCTGCTGCTGCTATCGACCTCCTTGGTGCTGAGAAGGTCGGGACTGCGTTTGCTTCGAGCGGGCGCCGCAGCGGCAAGGGCAAAGGGGGCAAGGGCGGTGGCGGTGACAGCGGGGGAGGCGGTGGTGGGGGTAGTGGCGGCGGTGGGGGTGGTGGCGCGACTGGAGGGGCTAGTGGCAGCGGTGGGGGTGGTGGCGGCAGCGACGGGGGAGGTGGCAGGGGCGGAGGCGGTGGTGGGGGTGGCGGTGGACGCCGCGGCAGCAGGGGTTGGGGTGGTCGAGGAGGTGGCGGCGGCGGTGGTGGTCGTGGAGGCGCTAGGCGGCGGCCAGGGCCAGCAGCACACTCCGTCGCCCCAGGAGGTCTGTGTGTGGTACCCTCAGCACGGGGGGGGGGGGCTTTAGCTGCACGTACGTCATTCGCACTAGTGACCGCACTGATCAGCCGTGTGGGGGACCGCATGCCACACAGCGCTGCTTCGCTCGTCTTAACGACGCTTGGCGTGTTCAGTTCCCTCACGCCACTGAGCTGCCCCACTGGGTTGATCTCCTGAAGAAGGGGATTGATATCTATGCTCTAGACTTTGATGCTATTCTCACTGCTATGTATGTGATGTCTACTAGTGGAGAGGGTGCTGAGTACCTGTGTGTGCCGCCCGACCCGGGCATTAGGACTAGTGCGTCTGCCGCTCCACGTACTCGCGTGTCTGCTACCCCAGGTGCTGGTGAGGCAGCTGCTCTAGGTGCTTGTGCGTCTGCCCCCCCTGGTACTGAGTCGACTGCAGCACTGCACACATTCACACTGGACTCAGGTGCTTCTCGCTGCTTCTTTTGTGACCGCACTGCCCTTGAGCCACTTGCTCGGCCAGTTGCTGTCTCCCTTGCTGACCCCTCTGGGGGTCCGGTCATTGCGACCTCCTCCACTGTCCTTCCCTGTCCTGCGGTCCCGTCGAGCACATTGTCAGGTCTCCACCTCCCCTCGTTCTCTACGAACTTGGTGGCAGGTTGTGCACTCCAGGACGGGGGTGTTCACCATTTCACCCCTGCCTTCGAGCGCGTGACACATTGCACGTGTGCTCGTACGGGCCGCCACTTGGCTACCTTCACTCGGCAGCTGGGGTCGGACCTGTACACACTAACCACTGCGTCCCCTCAGGTCGCTGCGTCTGCGTCTGTGTCCGCGTCAGGTTAGCTGTCTCCCCCCTGCTCGTTTCGCTCTCTGGCGCACGAGACTTTCCTCTAGCACCACCGACTTGGCCACCCGTCTGTGCAGCGCCTTCGTGCCATGCACTCCCAGTACCTTGTCTCTGGTCTTCCCAGGGTCCTCCCTCCCCTCCCTCCCTCGCCTGCTCCTCCCTGTCTTCCCTGTGTCGAGGGGCGGCAGCGCGCCGCTCCTCACTCCTCCTCGTTTCCCCCGACGACTGCTCCCTTGCAGACGCTCCACATGGACGTGTGGGGCCCAGCCCGCGTCCATGGTCAGGGTCAGGAGAGGTACTTCCTAATAGTTGTTGACGACTACTCGCGCTACACCACGGTCTTCCCCTTGCGCACCAAGGGTGAGGTCCCTGATGTCTTGATCCCTTGGATCCGCAGAGGCCGTCTCTAGCTCAGCGAGCGTTTCCACTCAGACTTTCCTGTCCTGCGCTTGCACTCTGACAGAGGTGGTGAGTTCTCCTCCGACCTCTTGGCAACCTACTATGCTGAGCGCGGCATTGAGCAGTCGTTCACGCTTCCGGCCTCTCCACAGCAAAATGGGATTGCAGAGCACCACATTGGCTTGGTCATGGAGGTCGTCCGTACCTCCTTGATCCATGCGGTTGCCCCCCACTTTCTGTGGCCGTTTGCGGTCTGGTACGCTGCGCATCAGCTCAACCTCTGGCCCCGTGTCTCCTTGCCGGAGACCTCGCCCACACTGCTGTGGACAGGGGAGGTTGGCGATGCGTCGCGTTTCGGGGTCAGGGGATGTCGAGCTTTTGTCCGCGATACGTCTGCGGACAAGCTCTCCTCCCATGCTGTTCCCTGCGTCTTCCTCGGCTTTGTCCCGGACGCGCCTGGCTGGCAGTTTTACCACGCCACCTCGCGCCGAGTCTTGCCCTCTTAGGACGTCACTTTTGACGAGTCCGTCCCCTACTACCGCCTCTTCCCCTACCGCACTGCCCCGCTCCCCCCCGTGCCTCTCTTCCTCTCGCCAGGTGCTGCTGTCGTAGACCCCCTCCCCCCTCAGGGTGCCGCTCCCTCAGGTGTGTCTTACGTAGACCCGGTTGAGCCTGTTGAGGTAGCTGTCGACTCTCGTCCTGCTGCGGGTGCGGAGCCTGGGGGTGCGGGGCCTGGGGGTGCGAAGCCTGGGGGTGCGGAGCCTGGGGGTGCTGAGCCTGGGGGTGCTGAGCCTGGGGGTGCTGGGCCTGGGGGTGCGGAGCGTGGGGGTGCGGAGCCTGGGGGTGCGGAGCCTGGGGGTGCTCAGCCTG